AAGTTAAACACCGTTTTAGAGTGAACCACACAAAATGAGAGAACGAAATTAATAGATCTTCTGGGTAAATTGCCCTTAGGTTTGATGCGCAAATAATTCATAAATTGCTAGGTCGAATCAAAACAGTTGGCAGAAGCGTGATTTTTATAACAAAATAGGACGGTTAAAATACCAACAAAAGGTTATTATTTTCGCTAGACGTTAATTACTTATTGTATCGCTAGACGTTAATTATCATATTTGTATAACCTGTATCACACCTGCAAAGATAAATAATGAAAGCAGAAGTAATGCACAGCTAGAAAAATCACTGCAAATATTTTTTTTTTTTTTCCTTACGAGCATACTTTTATAAGAAAATATTTAGCTTCATTTCACCAAGAACATGGTATTTTATAACAAGCTGAAATTTTAAAATGTACAGTTTCAGATAGCCAATTTCTGTTAATAAATCGATTTATAATGCTTGATTTCAAAATAATTCTTCTTCTTTCTGTTCGTCAATGTAATACTGCCTGTTTGAGTTAAGTTTAAATAACTATTTCCCAACTCAAAAAAAATCAACTGCATTTAATCCAGCTTTGGGCATACTAGAAATAATGCTCTTTCAAAGGACGATCAAATTGGCGCTTGTGATTGAAGGAATGTTATTTATACGTACAACGTGCAAGGGTGATGACTTTTAAATAGCTTCTGTCATCAGTATGTACATAATAAAAATTAATGTTCTTTAGTATTCGTGAATAATATGAATACAAGCATCTAACCATTTGCTGAAAGTAGAACAAAACAGTCGTCAAGAGTTTAGTATCCAGAATAACTGCTCGCACAAAGTCGCACTTCAAATCACAAAAGCCCGATAAGCAAACGTTACTGCAATAGATAGGCTCTAATTACTGTTGTTATGGTGTAGGGTCACGACACCAAAAATGTTATGGTGTTTTGGATTTTTACCTTCTAATTTTTCCGAAGTTACCAAAAGGTACCCTACAAATTGACCATAACACCAGAATACTCTTACCACAGAAAAATACTAGTAACAATAAAGTTGAAAATTTTGCGTTGTGTTTATTCCGGATTAACCCTAAAATCCATTTGAGTAAAGACTGGTAAAAATCATGAGCACACAAAATAAATTAACCATTGATTGATCTAGGAAAAAAAAAATTATTTATTTAACTCTTATTGCAATTTATATATATATATTATCCATTACTTTGAAAATCAAAATATATTCAACAAATTTTGTACTATTGTTTTACAAATCAAACCATTACTGAGTGATTATTTCTTTAACATTAGTCTTTAGAATCTTTATTATAGTTACTTTTGCAATCATGTAAACATACCAAAAATAAACTATAAATTAATGAACAGTACCCTCCCCGGAGAGAAAAAAAAATATAAATTTTAACAAGTTACACCTTCCACTTCACACAGAATAATCAATACAGAAGAAATATTATTGCACTCAATACCATCCAACAAAAATAAAATAGTTATTGCACATAATAATTTTCATTTTTTTTCATTTGTTTATTAAAGTAGTGTTTAACCGGATAAATGTTAAGTAATTACGCTATTACGATCCTACCAAAAAAGTTAATCCCTGAGAGTAGCACAGAGGCTCAAACAAAGATATTAACAAATCAATCCTCACCAAGCAGGCACTCCAAAGTTGAATTACATAATTACAAGAAGAACTTATTTTTCCTTTACAATTAAGTTAAGTTACCATAATAAAAAAAATTAAATCCTTAGTCAATTTAATACTTTACATAATCGACACACAAAAAATGATTTCTATAGAGTTAGGTTAACTTGGTCTACTACAAAAAAAAATTTAATGCTCAACTCATCAATTAATTCAATCATTTAACTGCCGAACTCATTATCCTTTATCTAACCGGGAAAGAAAACATAAAAAAAAAAAACTTATCTGAGGTAAGCAGTTGCTGAGTAGCAGGCAAAATCTAACCATACGAAACAAAATTGTCCCTTGAAGTTCAGGAGTAAAGCCGGCAGCAAGTTGCAGGAAAGGAGTTCGTCGATTATATGGAGGTTATCACGGGAGCCGAGGAGGTTTTCTATTTGATACAGGATGAACAAGGAAGATCCCATCTTTAAGGAAGTTTGAAATACAGTCCAGGACTTGGAGACGACAGCTGTCAGCAAGGAAAAAATTTCAGCTCAGGAATCAGTCGGTGGAAAAGGCGAGTCCGACTTCTAAGTTCAAAGAAGAAGCGGGTGTTGGAGGAAGCCAGAAACAAATGAAGCATTTCTATGGTAGAGAACTAGGTAGAGACATCTTTCTAGACGACGATTTTCAGCATTAAATTTCTTGAGAACTTAAATGTAAACGCATACACCCAAGAAAATGATGAAGCAACGAAGAATTAGGTGGAGACAAAGATACCCGTAAACCAGGGCCCGCGCTCAAGGCGCGGAGGCACGAGGCCCGTAACATTATCGGTTAAGAAAATCATTTTTCTCGGCAGAATCTGCTGCCGTTGCGCGCAGCACAGAAAGGAATTCAAAAGAAAGCAGAAGACGTGTCAAAAAGTGTGCTCGTCCCCCAAAACAACCCGTTAAAAGGGAGGACCGGACTGCCAAGTTGGCACAACCCACTCTTCGCCAAAAGTTAAAATAGTTGCAACAACAGCATTCCCTCATGTTATCAAACTCGCCAAATCCACTACTTTGAAACCTCAACGGAAATTCTATGTCGCCAAACCCTCGCCAAAATAACACCACCTGTGGCAGGGAGAAATTAGGAATTTCAACAACCCTGCAAGGGGTTCCAACGAAAGAACGCTGAGACTCGCAAAAAGTGACTTTTCAACCGGAAAGAGGGCATTTCATCCCCCTTTAACTAAATCACAAGCAAACGAAGAAAAATCTACTAATTAAAGCTCATAACTGAAATGCAATTAAAGTTAGAAAAACGAAAGTTATGTCAAATTAAAGAGCTAATTTTTCTGCAACTAATGATATTAAATACTAAGAAATCAAATTAATTTTTAATCCCGGAGAAAGCATGGTTGTTTGTAAATGTGTAATGCCTTCGAGGCATGGGGGCAATCTAAATGGCGAGCTGAAAGTACTCTCGTGTGGACTGTAAAACTCTCTGTGAAAGTACTCTCTTGTACTCTTCATGAATGCTTTTCATGCTCTCATAGAGAAGAGAATGTAGAGACATCCAGACACTCCCCCCGATGTGTTCTTCCTCAAAATTGGGACGGAAATAGTAGTCCAACCTCCTTATGGCTCTGGGAACCATTCTTCCATAAAATTCATGGACACGACAACAACAACAGAACTTTCCATAAAGTACTCGTTCAACTCTTCTCAGTATGACAGATCACAACACTTTAAACTGTTGAGAACGTTAAACACAATGCAAGGCAAAACACGTACAATGCTAACTAAACTCATACATAATCTACATATTATGTATGAGTCACCTTCTGTTCCACGATATAGACGAATTTGCCTCACTGTGCAGCTCAACAGTTTTAAGAATGAAAACTGTCAAAATTACCTTTACAGAGATTACGGATGTAGGTCTCGCATTCTGATGTCCATAGTTAAATATCCCAGCTTGTCTTGCAAAATGCAGTAAAACATTTGGAAATCAAATGGAATATTTATCTATTATAAAATGACAACGCATTTCTGGAGAATATTTAGTGGAAACTATATGGTATTTATGTTACTTAGGAGAAAAGTCACTTGTAGTAAACTGTGCCCTGAAAAGCTTCTAACAACGTAGTCACGGAATTACCAAACTGTTCATTACCCCCTTCAAAAGAAAACTGTGTATGAATCTATTAGTTCACACGAATAAACATTGGACTATGCAGTTAAGTACTAGAATTGAAACAAAAAATTATATACTAAAATAAAAACATTCATTAGTATACCCTGGAATGTTACTTTATTCTGAAATTGAGAAGCTTGAAACAATCTATGCACTGGAAAGACAAATAGAAAAAAAACAACACAACTCCACTTGAGAGATGATTTCTACGCTGTTCCCTTGGAAGCTATACGTGTACATCTTTTGCATATGTGCATAAGTGGTAATCAGGTGCTTTCTTCCAGATGTAGCCATTTTATGGACAAACAGAGCTTAGTTACACAATGAATGATAAATGTGTCGTAGTAATTTAATATTCAAATTTTTCCAAATCATATGTAACATTTGACTTCAATATAATCCACAAACAGAATAGATATGGAATTAAATGTATCTGCATATGTATTTAACATATGTATCTGCATATGCTAACGTGCTTTTCATGAATCTTAAAATGTATGCATAAATACATTTTTATTAAAAATGGGCATTAGATATGTTAAATATGGACTGAAAAATATCTAAGGATTATTTGATCTGATCTTTTACGAGAGCATACAATTAGACCAAACATCTAAAAGACAGCTAATGACTTTTCATTGTGTCTTTACTCGGGCTTGTGCCAACTCGGGCTTACAGAAGCCAACACTTTTGGCTTAATTCAGAAGGGAATTAATAACTTAAAATTAAATTAAGTTAGTCTAAAGGCTTCACAGTTTAATTAGCGTGCAAACTGGATGTGACCGAAGTCAGCGTAAACAATCCTAATGGCAAGAATAACTCAACGCCTCAGAAAATAATATATTAGTCAAAGTTAAAAATGTTGGCTTCAAGCAGACAGAGCACGCTCTGATTTCACCCTCCAAAACCTTCCTATAAATACTTCCGTCTTTCTATCTAATTTGAATACTGCCCGCTGGGAAATAAAATAAACCTTACAGCTTTTTTTACTATATATCGTAAGCATGTATGAAGAAATATTAACTTTCAATTAAGCCTGTTAGTATGTTGATAATCTGCGATATTTTTAAATTCCCTTATGTGTTACAGAACACGAAACGAACAAAACTGCTGTCATTTGATTAATTTAATAATACTTGCTATTTTATAATGTGGAAATTTTAACATGAGCAGTGAAGAATTTTATCAATTGTCTTTATTTAAATTTACTCGTGATACATTTATGCGATTAGAAGTAATAAATATGCCAGAAATGTGTATTCGTGAACGAGAACTTAAAAGTACTTTGGTTTGCATATAACGAGTTGAATTAACTGTAGGACTTGCATATCGTTAATGTTGATAAAACAGCGAAGAAATGACGTTATGAATACATTACTCTTCGTCAATATATTGTATCCATTTCTCCTCGTCAATATATTACATCCATTTCTTCTCGTCAATATATATAGATGAAACTATATAATTGGTTAACTAGTTTTATTTTGTATTATATTTAACTGCTTGTAGTATTTTCCCCTTGAAGGCAGTTGTCAATTGCTTGAAACTGCCATTCCCATCTTTTGTTATAAACAAACTGTCTTTGGTCAAATCTGTTATCATGTTGGCTAGATGTATTATATTTAACTGCTTGTAGTATTTTCCCCTTGAAGGCAGTTGTCAATTGCTTGAAACTGCCATTCCCATCTTTTGTTATAAACAAACTGTCTTTGGTCAAATCTGTTATCATGTTGGCTAGATGGATTTGCATAATATGATGGAGGGACTACCATCATTTTATGGCGATGTTTAGCATAGTTAATGAAAAAGCTTTTCACTTTATGGGCAATAACTGTTGTGCTCAAATTATTTGACCACATACTAGCTAGTTTACAAAACATAGAATATGGTCCACATCTGCAATATTTTCTCAAAATTCCATAAGCTGTTGTTTCACTAGAAAACATTTTACTCTGAAGATCCTCAAGCGATTTGGCAGTACTTTCCCCGCTATAGTTTGCTTTCAATGCATGCAATAAATTGTCTGCATTTGACATCTTATAATGGTAAACAGCAAATTCTAAAAATAACAGTACATCTCGTTTATTAAATGATCCAAGAGGACTCAGATCAGCACTACTTAAGCCAAACTTTGTACCATATCCAACCAGCCCTTCATCAGCATCTCCAGTTCCAAGAACTAGTAAACTGACAGAGCGATGCTTTACCAGTAGGTATAACTGTGCAAATAAATAGGACATGACCATCTTAATCCTCTCAATCGCTTTCCTCATTGCTTTTATTTCTCTGGTGTTTCCATTGGAAGAAGAGCATTTTGGAATAAAACCCATAGTCGTTGAGAATACATGTACTACAGCGTCAATTATAGAATCAATGTTTGTTTCTATATGACAACTACCTATATCAGAGGTTAATTGTTTAACTATACAGCATCTATTTTCACAAAGATATTCTGTACCCATATAACAAGTCACTAAAAGATTATTGCAGATTTCTATGGCACTGCAAGGAACATAAGTAGGTTTTCCAATAATTTCCCTCAGTTCTTTCAAAACAGTTTCATTTCCATTGTCAATTGCATTCTTTATCATAACGCACATCGAGTAGACAACAACAGCACAAGAACTGCTATTGATGTCGCCTTTTAATGTTAGGAAATACCCTCCTTGACCACTACGCCTTAAGTAATCCCACAGCCAACAAGCCGCTCCTCTTGCTATTTCTTCTTCCTTTGAATAGTGCCTCAGAACTATAGGTTCTGATGGCTGCTGATAAAAATCATCTGAAGAGAGCATAAATTCTACTTCAACTTGTGGATATGGCGATGAGAATGATGCTGCTATATTTCGACTGCGAATACAATTACGATAGATTTTAACATCTTCGAGGCATAATGTTGATGTAATTACCTCAATATCTTGCAAAGAAAACGTCTCGCCTTTACTTAGGATTTCTCCATTCATGGCAATAAGTGAACAACCTTGGAAATAATACCGATCTCCATCGCATCCACGTAAATTTGAGAAAATATAAATTCCTCCGCATTTTGCTGTAGAAGTTTTTATTAAATCAACAAGGGACTTTGTATTCTGAAGTTCATGGTATGCTGCACTTCCATTTGATATGATTTCAACACCGTCTAAGCTCTGGCTTATATGAGTGCTTCTGGCATTCCACAACTCTTCACAAATTTCGAACCCGATGCAAGTATCCACAGTTGCAAGAATCGCATCGCCTATTAAAACTGTTTGCTGGTGACAAATATTTTCTATTATGGAAGGTAAGCGGTAAATTTCAGTTTCTCGTATTTTCTTCCATGCTGTAAACCACCTTGTTTCTCTGAAGTTTCCATTGTCACATAATATAATTTTTGGCCGTATTAGAAGTAACTTCTTATTCAAAAATATTACTCTGCAGTTATATGCTATGTTTTTGTGCATAACTGGCATTCCGACATCAACTATGATGTCTTCGCAAACTGGATCTTCTAGAAGTCTTGAAACAACTTCCCATGAATGAAGGAATGTATCACTTTCATAGAAATGATCACCACAACTGTAGCCAGTAACTTCTAATTCTGGACCACCACGGTATCTCGCGCCCTTTTCTTTTGAAACTCGTATACTTTCACTAATTCGTTCATAGTTTCCTTTGAAGTCCATAGCCCACTGGTTAAGTGTACAGGCAGCAAGTATTACTGATCTCTCCATTTTAAAAGAAGGTTCATGGTATATCAGTTATCCTTAACCATATCTTTCAAGAAATCCAATTTAAATGCAGTTTTTCTGGATAAGAATTTTCAATTTATTTTACCTATCAATAGAAAAAAAAATACATCGTGTAAGCATAACAGGATATTTACAATACAAAATATTGAAAGGTTTTAATGATTATAGCTACAGAAAACAAAATGAATTCCCCCTGTCTTTAAAAAATAATGCTAAATTTTAGTACTATTTCAGAACTATTTAAATTTACTAATTTCTTTGAATACATGTTATCTTTAAATTTAACCTAATGCAGTAGTTAATTTATTCTTAATGTATCAAAGGATAGTAATTTCTCAGCTATGTGACTTCATAGCTTCATTAATGATAATTTCATTAATGAGTTCATTTGCTTGAATTCATTCATGAATGAGTTGCAATGAATTTAGTAATCAATTGAAAATTTATCGTATATGGTGCATCATACTCCAGTATGGAGTTAAGTATTTACTCCCTCTTAAAGCTAATCATATAATCTTCTAAACGTCTTACAAGTAATTACTAAACATGCTGTTAAAGAGTTATCGCTTGGTTTATATAAACAATTTCAAAAAAAGGAACTATTAAAGCATGAAGTTTCTAGAAAAATCGAAATTCGACTTTTATCTTATTTAGCATATCTCACTATAATCTTATTTAGCATAATTCACTTTTTTTACAAACAGTAGTCCGATTATTTGTATTTCTGTTGATCATATGAAAGTTATTTAAAATAATAAGCTTCAGACATTTTTTAAGGCAAACGTTACACATTGCGTAACGTAGCTTTTTTAACAATATCTGGGACAATGAAGAATGGGTTACTAATAGTAATTTTCTATGTAGAAAGAAAGTGTTGTTCCTAATTCTTATTCTACTAAAGAAAATGTCGAGGAACCTAGAGAACTGTTAAGCGATTTATCGCTTAGTTCAAATAACAGGAATCTTTAACTCAAGAAATGATAACTACCCTTTCTTTCACTCAAATTAAATTAAACAGTTGGCCCGTTATTCGGGCTTCTAACAAAGCCTCTACTCGGGCTTGAAATCAAAATAAGAAATGAGAACTAACTATAACTAACTAAGAGACTTAGCCCTAGCCGAGCGTACGAGCTTCCAAAGAGACATAACCCAAAGGCAAATGCGCGCAACTCAGGATTCCTAGCTCTCTCTCACGAAGTCAGTTGAAACTTTCTTAAATACTACTTCTTACTCATTTGCATTCAACGCGATTCTAAACACTCATTCTGGTAGGGAGTTGTAAATTGAAACAAGAAGCGACAGGAAAGCCCAATTAAATTAAAATAACTGTTTAAAAATTAAAATATGTCTTACAGTGTCAAAATTTAAGCTTCGTATTTCTTAACAAAACATGCTAAGTGATCAAACTTCTAAGGATTAGATTCATGTCTTATTTAATTCATTTGATAAATCTGAATTATGAGTTTACTACACGAAAGTATTTAGTTGCAGATTCGACTTTTAAAAAAGAAGTGATTGTATAAAACATTTAAAATATGTTTCTGATACAAAATATCAAGAGAAAAACGTGCCTAAAATCCTCTTAGGAAAATTTACAGTGTGATAACACATAAAGGTTCTACACAAAAGCTAAAAAAGGTTCAACAAATTGCATCCACACATGAATTTGATTTTATTGTACTTCCCTTATTACTATTTAAAAGAAAATTTATTTTACATTTAGCAGCAATTATATTTAAAAAGCATATTTGATTTAGTTGAGTTTTTCCTATTGTATTCAGAAGACTGTATTCCACAAACGTGTGGCCGTATCATATATTGTCAGCAATAAAAGTATTATCTATCCAAACTTAAAGGAAGTGGCGCACCAAGGGCAAGTTGATACATAGTACCATAAGAAAACATGCGTTTATTGCTAGAAAATTCTTAACTAAAATCCAGGCAATAAGCTAACTGCAATTACAAACAGCTTTCCCTGTTCAATACACCGAAAGTGTTTACACATTATTTAAGGATTTAGATGAAAAATTAGAAAAAGCAATTGTTTGGAATAAAAATCTTTTACAACTCGTTATTTGAAATGAGAAATATAGTGTACACCTTTTAAATTTGTTCTTCATTCAAAACCTTGTATATAAACCAGTTGTGGATTGAAGGATATGTGTTTTCACTATCTGAAACGAAATATTCCTACTCCATAGTTTGAAACGTCGTGAAATGCTCGATATTAACATTTTAAGTTCAGATTAACCAATATTATTAATCGTAAAAGATAATAACCTTCACGTGGAAGGAAGATTTCGAATGAATACCCAAGAAATGTAACGCATATTCCGGTGTATAACGCCACCTGTAATTTCAGGCTATATATTTTTTTAATTTTGCGGTATATTTTCCGAATAACGAGTACCTTTTTCTTTAAGAAGAAACTTGAAATGCACATGTGCGATGCTCTTAACTTTTGAAATCATTCTTCGAAATGTTTTTCCAGGCTTTCGAACAATGATATACTGAATTGACAAGAGATACGGGGAACAATATGTGTGTGGAAGAAATGCTTGAGGGAATAAATAATTCTGCTATCAGGGTGGTTGTATTCTATGCAGCTGTGCCCAAGAATGCTGTTCTAGATTTTTGAGAAAAGAGCATACCCAGTGTGGGATAAGAACGCACTTCCGACCGAATAAATTAGAGTGATTAGTAGTCACATTTTTAGTTTCTTCAGTCATTTGAAGCCTTGATTCTAAAGTGATCATCGAGGATTTTATTAACTATGATTTGCTTTAAATGAAATGCAGTTGATCTACTATTCGCTTTAGTGATAAATATGGCTACTGACAAGAGTAAAAAAAATGCAGGTTTAAAATGCAGAGTCATTCAATTTCAAGGAAAATGGAAATCGATGTTTGGGGTTGTTCAAAGCTCCAAACGTGAGATGAAGAAAAATGAAATCACAATAATTAATATATACAAATGAATAAGAAGTAAGGAAATGGCCTATCCTAGAAGACAGGGTTGCGAACCGGATCCTAGAAAATTGCCAGAATGGATTAATTATAACAAGAAACAGAGTATGTTTAATTGCCTTGAAATGAGCAAAAAAGAATTATTTGCCTTGAAGTGAGCAATAAATGAAAGTGAAAATTTAAAAGCAACTTTGATTTAGTCGATTAATGGCATGGAATAATTTTGTTCCAGAAGAGAAAACGAAAGTTTCCAAACGCTTTCGAGAGATTTGAACAGCAAATTTATATTATTCACTTACGAAGACAAAAGTTATTTACTATCATATATTGGCAATAAGGGTGAAACACATGTAATGCTTCATATGATAGGAAATAGGGCAATTAATGTGAAAGGAACAAACACGGTTCACATAAAAACAACAGGTCACGAAAACTCGCACCTCCCTACAGTGCTTTGCTATTTAGCGGACGGTACAAAATTGAAACCCATGGTTACTTTAAAAAAAAGACGATACCAAAATGTAATTTCTCAAATGGTGTTTACATACTTCTTTACGAGTAAGGATGGGGAGAGAAAATGTAAAACTGTGGATAAGAAATATATGGCAAAAGCATCTTGTATCCTTTTAAAAATCCAGAAAGGTTTTTGTTTAGTATATATTCAGATATCATCTAAATGATAGTACGAAGAAAGGAAAGAAAAAGTGCAACACAGGCATGGCAGTTATTCCAGGCCGATTAATGCCATTAGTTCAGCCTTTAGATGTGTGCATTTATAGGAAATTTAAAACGCTAGTGGATTATGTGAATGTTAGAAAGTGAAGAAAACATTTGCAAAAATAGGCTAAATGAGTTCATGCAAATCTAGATTTAATTTGAGAGTGGATAATAAAAGCATGAAATGAAATTATACACAACATAATTCAAAATTTATTTAAAAAGGTATAGTAATATAAACTCTAGTTAAACGGAAGATGATTATTGTTTTATGGATCAGAGTAACAGTGATGGTGAAAATGAAACAGAATTTGATGATATGCTTAAGATATAATGGAAAATGAATGTGATGAATTTTTATACAACGTGCACCCTTAAATTTCGATTAAAATGAGCGTTTTATACGCCGGAATGTACGGCGTCTATAATGTTTCATACTGTCTCTAATGTTTCTAAAATTACATCGTTGGTAACAAGAGAAAATCCGCCGACGTAGAAATTAGTTGCAGAGACTTGAAATACATCTGTAGCAACAATGGATAAAATAATAAGCCAAGATTTACAGCTTAAAAAAGATAAAAAGCACAGTGTTCAGCAGCTTTTGCCGAGGTGTGTGGTTCAAAGTAGAATAATTCATAGAACCCTGTCTAAAAACTATTTAGCAGGAGATGAATAAAAATATTTACGAAAAGCCTTATTTCTATCATGTAATCACGACTGAACACAACCGGAATTAGTGTCCAGAAAAAAAAGCCATCAGATCGAACATTTCAAAAACTATTCTTAACATTTTAATCACTAATTAAGTGCTTTCCAAATCGTTTTAAAAATGTGTTAAAATGTGTTATAAGGTATTTTCTCCCTTCTTCCAGCATGCCTTCATAGTGCAACGATATCACATTTAGCGTGTATTCGATAGGTCCAACTTCGAGTTCTGGCGAGGGCATTGCACATATTTCCCGTCTCCAGCTTGTAAAAAAACTAATGAACCTACAATTGGTGCCCAAACTAAAATGTGGTGAACAATAATTAGAATTTGGGATTTGCTTTAACTAATCCCCAGTCACATTTCAAAAGGAGGAGTATATTAAGTATTTTCTCCCTCCTTCCATCATGCCTTCGTGGTGTAATAGTAGAACAATCGGCGCGTATTCGAGAGGTCCAACTTCGAGTCCCGACGGTGGCATTGAATATTTTTGTCTGTATACTACCGCATGTGAATATATAAGAGAGAGAAATTTATACATTCCTGAACGTAATATATTCAAACTTTCAGTCATTTATAAACATACCTTGCTCGAAAGAATGCATGCAACGAATGGATTGCATACATAAGTAGCCAAAAATATGCAGAGCAAATGACTTCATTTTGACTCTCACACAAGCTTCCAGTACTTTAAAA